AAAGTATGAGATATCGCTTAGAGACTTTTTAAATGACCATTAGAAGTCTGAGTGCGATATATCTGAATAATTAGGTATACCTTACACTAATATTATAGATGCGAAAGTTTAGATGGATGGATGTTTGTTAGAGTTTGTAGCCTAAACGACTAAACGGATTTCGATGACATTTAGCATACATTTAGAGGATAGTCTGTAACAATGGGCTAGTAACTTTCGTTTTTTTAAATTCCAAGCAGAGGGAGTCGCGGGGAAAGCTAGTCAACTTATATTTTAGTATGTATTTAAAAAAGGAACAGTAATAATCGTATACACCTCTTTGCAAGTTCCTTTAATATTAAAATGTTAGACGGCATCATGTGGTACCTTGCGAAATTGTGAATAATTTTCTAAAAGCCAGAAGAACACACCTGCTGCCTTGCTAACATCTTAAACCTTGCGTATTTGCTTTTTCCTTGATCTTTCAGTTAAATTAATAACAAAGTGACATCTTTTAAGCATTTAATTAAGGAGCTAATAATATGTTGCTAATTCGTAACGTCCAAAGTAACTTTATGTAGTCAATAAAATAATTTATTTGTTAAAAAATATTGTATTAAGTATGTTCAAAATAAACCACCAAATTGAAGCGATCTCAAATGCCAGAAAAAAAGGGAATGATAAAAGTAAACAATTTCACATGCAATTTTTGCAATGAAAAATTGATTCAAACTGGACAAAGTTGACGCCTATCGCCATCGGTATCGCTGTGTTTTTATTAAAAGTAACATAATTCGGTTGAATGTGCCGACATTCAGTGTTAGATACAATATTTAAACAACGTCGAAGTATTGGTTATGAATATTTCATTTTTCAATCCAACTGGCAGACGTATCTTGTGACACGGGTAGCACGGGTAGCGGCACACCGGACAAATGTAGGTCAGAATAATAACTTAGTTTAACTAGATGTCAGGCTTGGAGCACTGCATAATCTAACTTGAATTTGTACGTAACAATTGTATTTCGAGCTATACAAACATTAATGATTTATATAAACAGTGTTTGCAAACGAAATCAGGAGCAATGTTTGGTGTTAGCGGTTTTAGCGAAAGCTAGTATGTTGTAATTTTTCACTTACAACATACTAGCTTTCGTCTGCGACTCCGTCCGCGTGAAATAAAAATAACACAAGTTAGTAGCCTATGTATTCTTCCAGACTATAATCTACGTCTATGCCAAATTTCATCGCCATTTGTTCAGCGGTTTAGGCTACAAACTGTAACAAAGACTAATCCATCTAAACATTCGCATTTACTCGTATAATATTAGTAAGAAGTAAGATTAGTAAGATTATTTCATAGTCTTATGATGATAATACGGGATGATAGGTTCGAGTATATGTTTTGTGTAGCGTTGATCAATTCACATAATGTATGCAATTTAGTTAAGGATAGCTTGTGTTTTTTATTTGTTATTATGTGTTTATCATAAGCTTCGCTCATCTCAAACATATCTTAGAAATGGGATACGTATATATTGAAATGGTTTCTCAACAAATCCGGGAATTGAATCAATTTCAACGATTACGTTTACGTTTAAATCAAACGGCGACATAAGCGTCTGATGGAAAACGGAATTCGACGAAAAGATTACGCAAAAATAGGATTAAGAAATTCAGTATTACGTTTTCACTTTGAATTTTATTGCGTTGCTTACGCGCTCGTATGTTTTGATTAACAAACGTGTAGATATTTTTTCTTTTGAATTTCTTTCTTATAATTCGTTTTATGTATTGCGATAAAACAGAATTTTGTATTTTATATCTTACGTACCAGTATATTTACAGCGTTATATAGCTCAGTATATTTATAGTGTAGTCGTATTAAAAAACTTTTCCTTTGTTAGTTTAGCGATTGTATTTGAAACGTTTTAAACGTTAAGATTTATTCTTACAGAGAGTTTTTAGTACTTTTCGAAGTCATACATCTTAATTTCAATTAATTCGGGTAAATTGTAATCAATTAAATTTTAATATTTTAAATTTGTTTCAAAGCGTGTACATGAAAGGTTTTGGTTATTTTCCCAACAAAATTAGAATGTATAAGCCACAAGTTTATTTTACTTCAAGTTGAGGTAATTCTGTGAAGGTTTCCGTTGGGTTACATTTGTAGATTACGGTGAGCCGGGTCGTGTGATTAGGAACATATTGGAATGCTAATCGTATCGCCCTTTTTGTTATGATTTTATGCTTTTGTTTTTTAACTGTTATAAAAGTTATGGTTTTACATAAATCGAAGCAAATTATTTTAATCAATGCATATCTTTGCTTAGTTCGTGTTCGTGTTATAGAATTGAACATACTTAGTACAACACCAAGATGTGTAGGGTTTGTTGTAAATGTCCTTAAGATTAAGTTATCCCTTAAAGTAATTGTGAGAAACGTGTGTTAGGATGACGCCAAATGGAAATATCTCTAATGGGTTGTGGAAGTGATTGATTTTCATTCTGATATTCATTTCTTTGCTTCTGTTCGTCTTTTTCAGTAAATTATTTATAGTTACATAGTAATATTTTATTGTCGTGCTGGATTTAATATTGCGTGCGAATATGAATAATGTTCATAAAATCATCACTGTGTTAAGTCACGCAATATACACTGTAAGCTTTCCTTTTGCAACTGTATTATTATATTGATTAATGTTCCATTGTTCCTTGATTTTGATTCGATATTGGAACTACTCTCGTAGGTGACACGCCTAGTTACTAGTCTACTAAAATGTATAGTAAAGGTGTAGTAATTTCGCAAGCTACGTGATGCCGTCTAACATTTTAATATTAAAGGAACTTGCGAAGAGTTGTATACGACGATTATTACTCCCTTGTTAAGTACTTATTGAAAATAAAGGATACTAGGAGACTCCTCTATGTACATCTATGCTAAATTTCATCGAGATCTCTTCAGCCGTTTAGGCTTCAAACTCTAACAAACATCCATCCATCCATCTAAACTTTTGCATTTAGGTATAATGTTAGTAAGATATTCAATATGTTATACTTGCCGTTGCTCGCAAGTTTTTTCGCGCAGAATTAAAAAAAATATAGCCTATACTACTCTAAGATAACGTAGCTTTACAATGGTGGAAATTTTTTTAAATCGGTCCAGTAGTTTTTTTTAATTATATCGATACATACAAAAATACAAATCTTTCCTCTTCATGTATATATATGTAACTATTTTGCATTTAACTACTAAATTGCCCAAATTTCTAACAAAGATATTATAACCAGCATATGTACCTGAAATAATGTAAATAAAAGTTCTTCATTATTCATTTGTATCATTGGTATTCCACAATGAAGATTGGTTGATAATCTCCAACAAAGTACATAATAGTGAAGTTATAGTACATAGGCTATTTGCGTTCGATTCCACAATACAAAGACAAAGCGAAACAACATAGTAAACTGGAGAACCACTATCAGGAACTAAAATCCAATTTATATCCGATACCTGGTGACTCATGACAATTGTATTTGTTTTTTTTTTAAACCATAAAGTCCTGTTTTGTTTTTAATTATGTATACATCACTATTTTTCATTTTTATAGTCATAGAGAAAAGTCTTGAATTACGTCATCTGTGCAAATACTGCTTCTCAAACGAGCTTGTTATGAACCCTTAATTCTCATTTTTCCAACTTTTATTTCCCAATACATTATTTTGTATTTACAATATTTGGGTTGTTTTTTTCTTAAAAATTCTCTTGATTCATAAATGTATATAAAAATTCACAATTTTTTTCTTATCTATTTGCTGACAAACAAATTGTTTTCGACGTGAAAAATATTATTTGGATTCGCTTAAATGTGAACGCCGCTATTGAACAGAGGCGACGGGATGATAAAATGTTTTCGTTATTTTTGTTTTTAACTTTGCGAGTTTTTTGTTGTCCGAGCCTTACAGATATTGAGCTGGATATTTATTTAAAGGGAACAGGAGGTAAAAAATATTTGAGACGTTGAAATTAAGCTTGACTTTGTCTTTAAACAATTTATAATATTCAGTACTGTGCTAATGTTTGCACATAGATATAGCTTACTAATATTATAAATGCGAAACTTTAGCTGGATGGAAGATTGAAGCCTAAACGGATCGGACGTAGAGCGTAGTCTGGAATAACACATAGACTACTTACTTTTGTTTTTCCACGCGAAAGGTGAAAACTAGTGTTTAAATATATTTTATTAATTTTTGTATCAAAGATTTCGAGTATGGGTCATTGACCTCTAAGACAGCAATGATTAAAAAATACTAATTTAATGAATACCCTGATACACTGATACCCTACATAGAGGAAATGATCCTGAATAATTTTTACATTCAAATGACTACGCGCGTTGGCGTCACGCAATAGCGTGATACAAAAGGGGTGCCCTATAATTACACGGCGAATGACCCGTGTTTTCATACCAACACGCAAATGCTGTCTTAATAAAAAAGTATCCTAACAGAGAGACGAACTTACTTTATTAAGTTGGAGATTTATGAAGTGTTCGCGGTTCTCTAGACCTCTTGTTTTGTAGTTTGTTACACGAGAACTTATTTTATTAACAACATGGGAATAAAAAATCTTTATTAATAAAAGTGAATGAACAAGCATGTCACAAATCTTATTGATAATATATACAGGGTTATTTAAAAGGACCTTTTTCCATAAAATAAAGTATTATCAGGGTTAAATTATTAAAAGTCTACAATGCTTATAGTTCTAGTGTTTACAATCAACATATATCTAGGTTTCATACGATATAACCATAATTTCTTGTTTTTTTTTGTGTTATGTGGTTTTCACAGAGGTCGTTTTCAGCAATTTAGAGCTTATCGTAAATTCCTTTTACGCAAATTACTATTCAAATTCAAAATCTCACTATACGAACGTGTTATAGTTTTAAAATAACTTTGCTTTTAAAATTCGTGGTATTGACTAAATGAAAATTAATGAGATTGCTTTCTTTGCAGTTATTGCGGCCTGCATCTGCAAAAACGTCGTCAAAAATAAAGAATTAAGGTTGGTATTTAAATAATTCAGCATAATAATTTTTTGAAGATCTAAAAATTCCTTTCGCGGTTCGCAGAGAAATGATAGTTTGTGAAAATAGCTAATAATTAATAGTAACGTTTAAATAATAGAAACGACCAAAAGTGGTAACATCTTAATAAAACTAACCAACTATTTTTTTTTGTTAACAGGAGCATTGCAGCACAGGGTATGACGCTCAGTAACCAAGAAGAAAGGAGCGGAGCAGGGTGAACTGGCGCGTGTTATGTTGGTGTTGTTGATGCTCGTGTCGGCGGCGGCCATCAGCGCAGAGTGTCCCCGCCATTGTGAGTGCAAATGGCGCAGCGGGAAGGAATCAGCCCTGTGTGCCCGTGCGGGCCTCACCTCCGTCCCTCCCCGGCTCGACCCAACGACCCAACTGCTTGATCTCTCCGAGAACCGCCTACCAACTTTACGAGATGATGCTTTTGCATCAGCAGGCCTACTAAACTTACAACGCCTATATTTACCAGCTTGCAACGTACGGATGATTCGACAGTACGCTTTTCGTGCTCTTGTAAATTTAGTCGAACTGGACCTTTCACGGAACCGGTTAGACGCTGTTCCATCGCAAACTTTTGGTTCAATACCTGAACTCCGGGAACTAAGGCTGAATGGAAACCCAATTACAAAAATTAAGGATGATGCGTTTACTGCTCTACCCCATCTTGTAAGATTAACTCTTAGTGGTTGTAAAATATCGGAAATAGAACCTCGAGGATTTATTGGACTGGAGGCATCCTTAGAATATCTCGAACTAAGTAAAAATAAACTGCAAATTCTTCATGTCGCAGTATTGGCACCTTTGCGATCTTTGAAAGGGCTAGAATTAGCAAGCAATCCTTGGGAATGTACGTGCGCTTTAAGGCCTATGCGCGATTGGATGATCAGAAGAAACGTACCAGCAACTGTCGTACCAGAATGCGCTCTGCCACCTCGGTTAATGTCACAATCTTGGGATCGCCTAGACCTGGAGGATTTTGCATGTATACCAGAAGTTAGCAGTGCCTC